GTAAGAGATCATCCCTGTCCTTAAGAAGTTTTCAGCAGCTGGTGTTGCGGCATAGCAAGTTAAGCTACTGCTTGCAATACTGGGATCCCATGTGGGCACTGGTTCGAATCCCAGCTGCTCCATTTCCAATCCAGTTCTTGCTAATGCACCTTGGAGGGCAGTGGAGGATGGCCCAAGTGGTTGGGTCCCTGCACTCATGTGGGAGGTCTGGAACAAGTTCGTGGCTCCTGGCTTTGGTGTGGTCCTGCCTTGCCTGTTGTGGCCATTTGGGTAATGAATCAGCAGATGGAAGACCTCTCTCTGTAGCTCTTTCAAATAAGAATTTGAAAGAAGTTTTCATTTACTGAGCATAGATACAAAGGTGTTATATGTTCTGACATCTATGTTATAACAAGCAAAAACAACATACTGTGAACACAGGGGAGAAACATGAATTCTACAGGGCAAGGGTGGCAGGGGACTTTCTTGGGTATGGGTAGGTGCAGGCACTGAAAATAAATTCAAGGAGAAACAGTCTTTATTCAACAAGTATGTGTTGACTACCTAGAATAACACAGGCATTGTGTTGGGTACAGAGACAGAGAACTAAGTGGTGCCCTAGTACACGCCATGTTTAGGAATGCACATGTGTGTACATGTGTGTGGCTGGGTGGTTGGAAGGTGGACTGTAGCCAGATCATGGTGAGTTGGGAGTGCCGTATGAAGAGCTCATTTAGGGAAGAAAGTACAGGCCTTCCCTTAAATCCTGACCTTGTTTCTAGCTTTTTAAAAAATATTTATTTATTTATTTGAAAGGCAGAGGTACACAGAGAGAGAGAGAGAGAAAGAGAAAGTCTTCCATCTGCTGGTTCACTCCCCAAATGGCCACAACAGCTGGAGCTGGGCCAATTCGAAGCCAGGAGCCAGGAGCTTCCTCTGGGTCCCCCATGTGGGTACAGGGGCCCAAGGCCTTGGGCCATCTTCTACTGATTTCCCAGGCTCCAGGCCATAGCACAGAGCTGGATCAGAGAGGAGCAGCCGGGACTAGAACTGGTGCCCATATGGGATGCTGGCACTGCAGGCAGTGGCTTTACCCACTATGCCATAGCGCCGGCCCTGTGTTTCTAGCTTAGAGACTTGAGACAAGTTATCTTTCTAATCTTTCTGTCTCAGAGTTTGCCCATCTGGTATAATGCATGTAAAAAGCCTGCACTGAATGGTTGCGAGGATGGTCTTAGTGTCTGTGGATCATGTTAGGGTTTCTGGTTTTCAGTAGCTACTGAATGAACAGCAGCTACCACTGCTTCTGAGGACTGTTGGGAATGAATGGAGGTTTGCAGAAGAGAGGTGGCTGGAAAGGTTTGGGTTTTCAAGGTTTGGGCCTCATTCTGGAGGGCATGATGGGAAGCAAAGCATGGGAAATGAGCCTGGGTTCTGGTAGGCCCCTGAAGAGGTTGGAGCAATAGTCTAGGCAAGAGATGAGGACCAAAACTGAGGTGGTGGGAGGGGAGAGAAAGCAGCACTGACTATTTGGGTGGTGAAATGAGCTTGCTGGCATGCTCGATGCGAGAGGCAAGGGAGAGAGCTTGGTGCTCGGTGGCTGTGTAGCAGTTCCACTACCCTGGTCTGTGATGTGGAGGGAATGGGGGACAAGGCGGAAGAAAGGGAATGTGTCAGGAGCAGAGCCACCTAGGAAGCCCGCAGTTACAGAAAAGAATGCCTCATTGTTCTGTGCGTATGGGAGACGGGGCCAGGCAGCGTCTCGTCAACCACGCATTTTAGAATCACCAGGCAGGCCTTGGGACTTGGCCACTGCTGGGGGACTTCTTCCCCAATTCTTGTGCGGCACAGTTAACATTCTGTCTCCTTCCAAGACATTCCTTCTCAGTACCCACCTAGAGATGGTCTCCTGGGCTTTCCCAGAGGCTCACCGCGTTGTTTCTGATCTGCTCACTTAACCTTTGCCACCACTGTTGTCCACAGAAGCCACTCAGGGCTTTAGGTCGAATCCCAAATTGTTTTCATCTTAGGTCATTGCCTGATGTTCTACCCACACGTGTCAGGCGCTTTCCCAGAGGTGGGAAGGCACAACCACAGAGAAAGGTCAGAATTCCCTGCTCTGACTTCTCTTTCTGAGAAGGGACCCTTTGCTGTTTAAGACCTGAGGGACAATCCAGGACTCAGCCCCCTGTTAGGAAGGCAAATGGAGTAAATTCAGAAAACCGACTACTTCTTACTGCCCACCCTCCCTCCATCGAGTTAGTGGGCCCTGGACAGCTTTATACTTTCCCTAAAAGAATTTCCCTGGACTTTTTACTCTACAGTCACAGAAGTACTCACATCCCAATATTCAGATTATCTCTCAAGTGGGAGACATGAGGCTGAACTTAATAAACCCAAAAACCCCTCTCTCTGCTTCCGCAGGAGTGCACACACTCTCTGATCACATGTGTATTTACCTGGAATCAACTGATATATGAAAGTTATAAATATCTGTGAAGTACCATGTGGTTTTTTAAAAATCTTATCTTATTCATTTATTTTGACAGGGAAAGAGAGAGAAACAGCAAAAGCAGAGACACAAATAGAAAAAGATCTCCCATCTGCTGGTTTACTCTCCATGCCAGCAACAGGCCTGCCATGCCAGCTAGCCAGGAGCCTGGAACTAAATCCAGGTCTCCCATATGGGTGGCAGGGACCCAACTACTTGGGACATCACTGCTGCCCCCCAAGCTGTGCATTAGCAGGAAGCTAGAATAGGATGTAGAGCTGGGACTTGAACCGGGCACTCCAATACAGTATGTGAGCATCCCAAGCAGTGTCCTCACTGCTGTGCCAAATGAAATGCCCATCCTCCATGAGATTTTTTTAAAAAAAGGTTTATTATTTATTTAAAAGAGTGACAGAAGGAAAGACAAGGAGAGGAGCGATTACTGTTCTTGATATTTTGGTGATAGAATCCCAGTACTCACTATGGTTACTAGCACATTGTAAGCACCCAATATATGCTTTTTGCTTGAAAGAGTGACACTGATCTGTGATATTTCTATAGGAAGCTGACTTGTCTTCCAACCTTCCCTAGGAATAAGCTCCCACTATCTGCACAGATATTTAAGGCTTGATTCCCTGGTTCATTGAGCACCTCCTAGTGTCTAAGCACTGTGTACGGCACTGGGGTAGGGAAGGTAGGAGAAGCTTGATAAACTAGACTGAATTGCCGATCTGAAGGATGTTAGAAAACTTCTCATTTGTTTACCTTTCTGCTCATCTTTGGGTGCAGTTTGCAAGTGGGGGCATTTTAAGTGTGTTTTGACAACACCTGTGCAAACACGCGTAAATACTGTGATCCACAGTGATCGGAACTGAGAAAAGGCTGTCGATGCGGTGTGGTGGTTCCCTGGGAATAGGATACGTGAAAGCCATATGCTGGAGTTCTCGCCGTTTGTGACAACTAGGAAGCAGCATGACTTGCTTTCAATCGTCCCAGGATTCTCCCACTAGGGCCCAGCCTCTCTGCAGATGAGGCAAATGATCAGGAATAAGAACTAAAAAGGCACATGGAAAAGGACTTGTGGCTAAATCTTTTGGGAAGCCAGCCTACAGCAGAGTGAGCTGGCTTATTTTTACTGAGTGTGGGCTGTGCTTTATATATCTGTGCCTATATATAAAGAATGGTTGCAAGAAACTCTGACTCTGGCTTAATTGTGAGTCACCAGTCCCCATTTTAGAGTGTGTGTGTGTGTGTGTGTGTAGCGAGAACTTTGGGCAGAAAGCATGTATTTACTTGTAAAACCATGCTTGGAATGTGTGTAGGACATTTTCTGTTTTTGATATCAGGAGAGTGTGGATGTGCACATGTGCAGGGCAGGTGGTGCCCAGAATCACATGAACAGCAGTCTTGGAGAGACCCAGACCGTGGTCTGAGCTACAAAGTGTTGTGGGAGGTGACTGTTTTCTTTTCAGACAAGCATTCCGGTCTTTGAGGAGCCCTTGACTTTCTCCTTCCTTCTTGTCTTGTTAAAAAGGGATTAGAGTCCAATTAAGCCATTTAATCCTGAGGTAGAAATTCATGTTTAAAAACAAGATGTACAGCTTCCAAAAAAAAAAAAAAAAGTGCAAGTTGAGGTTTGTCCTTTCAAGTTGCCACCTGCACAGCTCCAAAGAGTGTTTTCCACTGAATACCCAACATGCAGTTCTTCCTAATGACTCTGTCTCATACCTCCACTCCTTCTTCTTGTAAAGTACCCTTCAACCTAAATAGGCACATGCTGTTCGAAGCACTTCAGCTTCTTGATTGCCACAACTGCTCTGTGTTTCTCTCTCTTCAGTTGGCAACCCAGTGCCCAAGGTTAATAACAGTAATACTATCATGAGCTAACGGTTACGGGGTGCTTTGTATGTGCTGGGCATCACTGTACTAAGCACTTTCCATACAGATCTCATTAGATACTCCATCTGAAGACACTCAGGGCTGGCTCCAGTGGCCTACCGCTGGATTTCATGCTCTGCTATTGCCATCTTGAAATTCTTAACCATTTTAAGCAATGGGCTTGCAGTTTTGTTTTGTGCTGGGCCCCACAAATGGTGTTGCTAGTCCTGAGAACACTCAATAAGCTATAGTTTGTTTTGCTTTCTTTCCATGCACTGCCTACTTCCTTGTCAGAGTATGGGCAACTCAATCTCAAATTGCAATGCAAAACTCTTGCTCTTGGAAAAGGCTCACGATGTCCTTGAAGGAAGTTCTCTAAGGGATGGGAAGTCAGGCAAGTCACTGAACCTCCTTAAGCCTCAGATTCCTCATCTGTAAAATGGGATAATAATAATTCCATCCCACTCACAGCTTCCTCAACGATATGATGAAGTCATATATATCCAGCTCTGATGTGCAATGCATATGATATTTATTATTAACAATGCCCCCCGGTGCCCAGCATGCACTAAACATGGACTATTGCTGGCGACGTAGTGCAGATCCCTTGCCCACCTTCAAGGTGCCCTTATTCCAGGGATGGGTTCCCTACCTGTCCCGGAGAGCTGGGGGTGAAGTCCACCTTCTCCACGTGCTGGCTGATCACAGAGGGGTTGCTGGAGCTGATGAGCACTGGAGTGCTGATCTCCACCCTGTGGCGCCCGGGAGGAGAATGTACCATCTGGTTGAGGGTGTTCAGGGCTGTTGTGATGGAGAACTGCCCGGGCCCCTTCCTCCTGGACCCTGGGCCCCTACGGAGGGTGGGCGTGCTGGTGGCTTTGCCTCTGGAGGGTGAGGACATCAGGGATAGGCTTTTGTTGTGCGATGACTGGCGGCCTTTGTTCTTCTCTAGCAGGTGCCTTGCCGTGAGGTTTGGCTGAAAAGACAACAGGTCCATGGAGAAGTTAGTCTTTGTGGTCCAGCGGGAGTAGCTAAGTCCTACCCAGGCTGCTCTGAAGCCAGGTCATAGGCCACCTCCTCAGGCACTGGTCCACTGACCATTCCTCAGTCAGCATAAGAATAGTTTTCATCTTTTACCAATATGTCCCAGTCATTTTGCTCTACCAGAAAATTCATACGACTCTCCAGGAAAGCAGGTATTACTCTTTCACTGAGGCCCAAAGTGGTTATAAATAAGCCACAGTACTCGATCCTAGTCAGGAGTCTTTGTCTTTACCCTCTTCTCCCAGCCATACTCTTCACCTGCTGGACTTCTGCCCTCCTCCTCTGCTTGTCCCTGAATCCTACCATGAATCGGCTGCTCACCCTTCCTGGTGCTCTGGTGGGCTTCATGCTTCCGGGTCAGTGCATTTCCACCCCACACCATGATCTTCCACTTGCCTTTTCCCTCCTTGGTCGGTGAGCCCCCAGGCAGCAGGTATCTTAACCCTACCATCCTGTCTTGTATCCCAGAGAGGTTGCATGCTGTTTGTGAACTGTGAGTGGATGCAGTTGGTCAAGTTCACGTACGTGATGAGTGTCTGAGCCAGAATGTAAGTGCATTTGGGCGCCTGAAACCTAATGGCAAAACTGTCTTTTATTGCTGCCTTTATGTACTTTCATATCATCACTGTTCTCCCTTGCTCTGTGTCAGTGGTATAATAGTAGGTCAGCTTTTTTTTTTAAATCTTGATTTCTGGAATTTGCCACTCTAGTGTAAGAACTGGCGAGCAAAATTCCTGAAAATGTAACCCCAGCTCTTGTGATCTGGTACCAGCCAACTCCAGCACACCGCTGAGTTACTGCTGTTCTTCCCCACAGTCGGGGTAAATCCTCACAAGAAGTATCAGTGAGTGACCTCCCCACTGAGGTCCCTGTGGGCTCCTTTCCTTTAGAAATCTGAAATTTGTATGTGAAGAACCCTTGCATTTCAGGATTACTTAAATTTCCATGATTACAGCTGTCATCCACTGTTCTGTAAAACCACATTTCATTGGAGTTTAGAAATTCAACTATAAAGGTCAAATGGGAATTTGCATATTCAGAAACCCTGAATGACAGTGCTCAGAGGATTAAAAACTTTGTACTGTTGTGAAAAATATATCAAGTAGGGGAATGAGACCATTAGGTACATTTTAAGATAAGAAAGCTGAGGCCCAGAAGAGGTGACATATAAATAGCAGACCAGTATGCAAATGACTAAACTGAAAATACCAGCAACTAGTCAGTGCCCTGGTGCGACAGGCATGGCGGGAGGCAGCCTCTTAGAATAAAGGGTTCAGGGCCGGCACCGCGGCTCACTAGGCTAATCCTCCACCTTGCCGCGCTGGCACACCGGGTTCTAGTCCTGGTCAGGGCGCCGGATTCTGTCCCGGTTGCCCCTCTTCCAGGCCAGCCCTCTGCTGTGGCCCGGGAGTGCAGTGGAGGATGGCCCAAGTGCTTGGGCCCTGCACCCGCATGGGAGACCAGGAGAAGCACCTGGCTCCTGCCATCGGATCAGCATGGTGCGCCGGCCGTGGCGGCCATTGGAGGGTGAACCAACGGCAAAGGAATACCTTTCTCTCTGTCTCTCTCTCTCTCGCTGTTCACTCTGCCTGTCAAAAACAAACAAACAAACAAAAACAAAAAACAAACAAACAAACAAAAAAAACAGAGGGTCCAGGGAGACATGCTGGCAGCTGCAGTGACAAATGAGGAAGAGAGCCTGCTCGGGCCCCTGCCACCCACATGGGAGACCCAGATGCAGCTTATGTCTCCTGGCTTCGGGCTGGCCCAGCCCTGGCTGTTGTGGCCATTTGGGGCATGACCCAGTGAACAGAATCAATCTCTCTCTCTCTCTCTCTCTCTGTCTCTCTCAACTCTCTCTTTCAAGTAAATAAAATAAATCTTTAAGTGATTTTTTTTTGAAAAAGGTGATAGCCCTGTGAAGATGGGGGTAAGAACATGCCAGGCTAAGGGATTATAAGCCAGCTGCAAAGCCCTAAGGGGGAATGAATTTGGACTGAGAAAAAGAAGAAAGAATCAGAAGGTTGGAGCGGGGAGGGTGATGAGAAAGTGGAGAGAGAGGAAGATCACACAGGGCCCAGAGGCCTCAGTTTTACCCTGCGCTTAACAGGAAGCCTTTGGCAGGATTTCGGTAGAGGTGTGACATCGTCCGGCACGTGCTTTTAAAAGTTCATTTAATAGTCTGGCAGTTTCTTAGACACTTAAACACACACTGAGCACCTGACCAGCAATCCTAGGTAAGTATGAAATGAAAAGTGCATTCAGTCAAAAACAGTGGGGAATATTTTATGGAAGCTTTCTTCATAGTTGCCAGCAGACAGAAACAACCCCAGTTCCTTTCAACTGGTGAACGGATAAAGAAACTCTGATACCCACACAGGGGAATACTACTCAGCAGTGAAAAGGGATGAACTACTGATACATGAGACAACACCGATGAATCTCAACTGCATTCCATGAAGTGAAAGATGCCAGACGCAAAAGCTACAGTCTGTGTAATTCCATCTGTGTGACCTTGGAGAAAGAACACCATAGGAGCAGAAGACAGAGTGCTTTCCAGGAGTTGGGAGTTAGGAAGTGACCGGAAAGGGGCGATTTTGTGTGGGGGGGGGGGGGCGTTGCAACTATTCCATGTGTTGATTGTGGTGTACTCACGCAGCCATGTGTGCCTGTCAAAACTTATAAAACTGGACACCCAATTTGTTAAGTCAACAACAGGAGTCACCGTGCACTTACTCCTCATGTAGGATCTCTGTCCTTAATGTGCTGTACATTGTGATTTAATGCTATAACTAGTACTCAAACAGTATTTTTCACTTTGTGTTTCTATGTGGGTACAAACTGTTGAAATCTTTACTTAATATGCTAAACTGATCTTCTGTATATAAAGAGAATTGAAAATGAATCTTGATGTGAATGGAAGGGGGGAGGGAGAGGGAAAGGGGAGGGTTGCGGGTGGGAGGGAAGTTACGGGGCTGTATTTTGGAAATCTATATTCATTAAATAAAAGTTAAAAAAAAATAAAACTGGACACCAAAAATAATAAATGTTACTGTAGATAGAAAAAAAGAGCTCATTTGACTATTATTCAGAATTGCCAGAGTAGCCATAGGGAGACCACAAGGAAGTTACCGAAGTTGTTTGGGCCAGCTCTGGTGGCAGCCTGCTTAGGAACAAGGCCTTCTAGTCCCTGCAGCACCTGTCCTTCTGTTGTGCACCCAGTAAGAGGACAATAGGCAGTCTTTGAATTGAATGAGACAGTTCTCCATGGCCACTCACAGCTATACCAAAATAGGTTCATTTTTTCTGCTTCAACCTGACTGTTTGGTCTCCAGGTGGGTACCAGCATCAGCTTTCCAATCGGCAACATTGACAAAGGGCCCCCTGAGGGCTCGCATCTGCCCTGTCCTCTGCCAACATGATTAATAGCTCCTTTGGGGGAAGGACTGCAGGTCTCTTAGATTTGCACTCACTCGTTTGAAACAATATCCTTGAGGTTCCCTGGGCTGAGCTAGGTTCACACACCCCAGGCAGGCCTCACTTTGAGAAGTTCTGACAAGAACAGGCATAAACTCAGCACTGTTTCACCACCTCTTCATGCAGGTGCAATTCAGTAAATCAAATGATACATGAAGAGGAAAAATCCTGCGTATGCCAAAAAAGCACGTCACCCTCCTAAGAAAGCATTCCTTCCTTCCAATTGCTTTGCATGGCGATAGTGATCCAAAGCTTATTTAAAGAGTTCTCAGCAAGTGCTAGCCTTAACGAAATGACTGGAGTCAGAATTTAAGTGCTGCTTTAAAAAGCTCAATTTAGATTTCAAGTAATTTTTGAGAACCAGGTTCCCAGATCAGAGAAACCACTTGATTATCTTTCCCCCCTCCTAGCAATTAGGAGAACAGATGAAGCAGTGGCTAGTTGGACGATAATTTTGAAGGTTCTTGTAATCACTAATTTTGGAGGTGAGGTGGTAGGGAGAGTTTCCAAATGAATAAGTATTCAATGTTATTTTGGAAAAATAGGTTTCGGAAATGGATAATAAAATGCGTTGGTGCCTTTCCCTACCACGGCTTTGTGGAAGCCTTTCAAAATAATGCAGAGAGCCATGCAAGCATTTGAGCAGCTCCTAAGGGTCCCACTGGATATTGTAGCTGACCTCTGTCCAGGAGCGTTAACCATCGTCTCCCCATCATCCTAACTGAACTTCCGCAGCACATGTTGCTTAACCTAGCCAATGGTTCCATCACTGACCTAAGCTGAAAGTGTCCACTCCCTCTCTACATCCTCACTCTGCAGTCTTCAAATCCTGTGGACTTTACCTTCCGAAAGGGCGTGGAGCCTGACCACTTGTCTCCAGTCTAGTGTTCTAAGCCCCAATCATTTCCCAATTGAGCCTGACTTCCTAGCCGGTCTTTCTGATTTTCTTTTTTTCTGCCTCCTCTCCAAATTATCCTTTTGTCCTGTAGTCAGGACAGTCTTTAAAAAGCCAAATATGATCAAGTCACTGTCTCACATAAAACCTCTCAATGGCTTCTATTGGCCTTTGGATCAAATCTAAACTTTATGATATGGCAAGGACGACAATACCAGATAGTCCCTGTGGTCCCTTATATTTCTCAGCTGACTTGAAGTTAGGTATGGCTATGTATATGACTGTTCAAGCCAGTGGGACGTGAGTGGGAGTGACATGTGTCACTTAGGAGCTGAGGCATGTAACTGTTGGTACACGACTCCATCATCTACTCTTCCTCTATGGTGGTGACTAGAAGTCCACCTGTTCCTGATGGTGCAGTTACAAGATGCTCCAGCCCGGACAAGAAATGTGAGTGAGAAATAACATTTTCTTTGTTGAGCCATTGATATGGTAGTGCTGTTTATTACAGTAGCATTTCCTAGCCCATCCCGCCTGCATAGAATGTTTTACAAAGTGTTCTGTGATCTGGATCCCACCGACTTCCCTGGCTTAATTTTTCTGTTACTCTCACACTCTCTCAACTCCGACTTTGGTATTCTTTAGGCCGCTTGGATACACTTCACTTCTTCATCCTGAAGGACTCTTACACATGCTGCCTCCATTCTCTAAAATGCACTTCCCTCCATTCTTGCCTGTTTAACTCCAATCATCTGTCAGATCTTGGATTAAATAGTATGTGCTGACCCCCAACCCCGGGAAGTTGTACATCATAACCCACTAGGAGTTCCTCTGCTTCTCTCTTTGCATTATTTATCACACTTAGGATAACTTCAGTAATCTCTGACTTTCCAGTCTCTGACAGCAGGAACCATATTTGTCTTGTTTTTAAAACTCTAGAACATAGCACAGGACCAGACATAGCAGACACTCCATGAAAAATTACCTGAATGATTGAATATACATTTAAGACAGCATCCCACTGGATGGTCTCTTAATTTTTTTCCTGATGACAGTGACCATCTTCCAAATAGTCTTTCATTCATTCACTTGCTCTGCTCTCCTTTTAAAATGGTATGCTTATTGTGTATTAGGCTGGTGTGAGATGTGCAAACAACACACCCATCAGGTGTTCAGAGAGGAAAGAGAGCACTGAGTGACCAACCAGCTTCTGAAATTTCGTGAAGAAAGTAGTTTTCTATCTGAGCCTTGGAAAATGAGTGCAATTTGAGCAAATTGAGTGAATTGGGTGAGTATTACTGGAAAGGGTCCCAGTAAGAGAAAAAGCATTAGGGATGGGGATTGTTTAGGAGAGATGCTAGGAAGACCAGCCCCTCTGGGTGCTTCTTTCCTCCCTCCCTTCGATAGTGCAGCACTAATTGAGTAGAAGGCATGCAGCGAATTTTGAAAGCTGGACAATGCTCTGGGCACACCACTCATTCCAGAACCTGCTTTGGCTCCTGTGAGTGGAAGCACTGGTCTCTTCTCCCAAATATGCCTCCGTTCTGTTTTCATCCCTTTAGCCCCAAGAGGGCAGAACAGCATACCTTGTACTTTGTTCATAGCTCCCTACTATTTATTTTTAACTATTCATTTTTAAAACTCATATTTACTATTTCTTAATGCTTTATGCATGGTAAGCACCTCATAAATGCAGTTAAACAATGAAACCTCTTGTTTAAATTTGTCATGACTTGCTCCCAGCCAGAGTGAGGTACATAGCCAGTGAGGTGAGAGATGGTAGTTTATATTATTATTATTTTTTTTGACAGGCAGAGTGGACAGTGAGAGAGAGAGACAGAGAGAAAGGTCTTCCTTTGCCATTGGTTCACCCTCCAATGGCCGCTGCGGCCGTCACATTGCGCTGATCCGAAGGCAGGAGCCAGGTACTTCTCCTGGTCTTCCATGGGGTGCAGGGCCCAAGCACTTGGGCCATCCTCCATTGCACTCCCGGGCCATAGCAGAGAGCTGGCCTGGAAGAGGGGCAACCGGGACAGAATCCGGCGCCCCGACCAGGACCAGGACTAGAACCTGGTGTGCTGGTGCCGCTAGGTGGAGGATTAGCCTATTGAGCTGCAGCGCTGGCCAGGTAGTTTATATTATTACACTGGAGAAATAGCCTCATATACTTTTTTTTTTTTAATAAAAAAGGCATATTTTAAAACCACAAAATATATTCTCATTTTAGAAGACTTAGAAAACACAAGCTGGTAGAAGAAAATAAAAAACATTTGGACTCTCACCATCTAGTGATCACTACTGTCAGTATTTTGTATGTATCTCATCGCTGATCCATTTATAAGCACACACATACATTTGTATAGTTTCATATAGATCAATTTGTTTTTATTGGCAAAGACATACAAAATTTGCCATATTAACCATTTTTTATGTCAACAGTTTGCTATTGTGAAGAACAGCGATAAAACAGATTTCTATAGCTTATTCATTTTATAAATTGAAACTCCATGCATTAACTTGATTTCTCACCTGAAAATAAATCAGTTTTTTTTCCCATAATAACAAATACTCCACAATACAAATATTATTCTCTAACATTATTTTTAATGGAATATTCTTTTCCATCTTCATATTTTTTAAAAGCAAATACTAATTTTTGGTAATTTAGGTTATTTTTTTGTTTTTCACTATTATATATAATACAATGGCAAATATTTTTGCATATCTTGTACATATGTATTTGTGTATTTGGTTAAATATTTCCTTCCAGCGAACTCCAAGATGTGGAATTGCTGACTCGTAGGAGGTGCACATTTTTAAGGTTTTTGATATGAATTTGTTTGAATTTGTATGTGAGAGATTTCTTCAATTTACCCTCCTGACAGCAGAATGGGAAGGGCCCATTTCTCCACACTTGCCAGAATTGGATATTACCATGTGGTATCTTTTCTTTGGAGACTTTAGATAGGTCTGAAAGAAGCCTCCTGTCAAACAGGAATTGCTCTCCGGTGTCAAAGGGGCCATGCATGTTCCGAGTAAGCTTGGATCAGATACTGATCTGATACTCACGTACCTCCACAAACAAGATAGGGAAGATGCCTACTTTATCTCCTAACTTGCCTTCTGCCCAGTTCTCATCCACTCGGCTTATCACGGTGATGATGTCATCCTGCAACAGAAAGTCTCATGGTTAGCATTTACTCTCAGTTTTCAGGTAACAGAAGCTTTCAATGGAGATCAGATTGGAGTCAGATGGTATAAGGTGCATGTAGCTCTTGCATGATTTATTGAGCAAAGCTTGCTACTAAAATGAACTTTTTCAATAAAGGACTAGAGTTGAGTCACCAAGACTACTAGGGGAATAGAAATAATTTGGAGTATCAATGAAATCAGTAGAGAAACTTGGACATTTCTAACTGTCAATCACTAGCAGCAACCAAGGTTTTCATTTAAATTAATCCGATGGAGCAATTGAGAATGAGTGTGGCATCGGGAGACATAGTTGTAGCTTGGCAGAAAGGATAGGAGCTGGCATTGTGGTATAGCAGGTTAAGCTGCCACTTGCCATGCCAGCATCCCATATGGGTACCAGTTAAGTGGCTGCTGCTTATTTTTGATCCAACTTCCTGCTAATGCGCCTGAGAAAGCAGCAGAAGATGGCCTAAGTGCTTGGATCCCTGCACCCATGAGGGAAACATGGATGGAATTCCTGGCTTCAGCCTGGACCAGCCCTGGCTGTTGCGGCCAGCAGATGGAAGATTCTCTCTCTCTTTCTCTCTCTCTGCCTTTCCTCTCTGTGACTCTGCTTTTCAAGTAAACAAATTTTAAAAGAAATAAGGATGAAATTGTATTCTCATTTTGAAGAATTTTCAGAACCTCTTCAACTTTTAATATATCAAGCAAAAAGCTTCTACTCAAATTTATCTCATTACAAAAGGTTTTAAGTAAATTTGCAGAAACATTTGAAAATATAGATAAGCAAAGCAAGAAAAATTTGCTGCTGCTGTAGATACAACTACTGTTAAGAGCTTGTTTGACATGTCGTCCCAGACTCTTTTGTGTCAAGATAAAACATAGAAAAACAAATATAATTATTTCAAAAAACTTTTAAAAACACATGCACACAAGGAAGTGCATAACCAGTGTAATGCTTGCGGAAGTTTACATCTGAACATCTCCATGAGAGCCCCATTCAGCTCAAGAACATTTCTAGTACCCAGAAGTCTCACTTCTGCGCTATCCTACCCTCAGCAACGGAAACGCTCTCTTCTGACTGCTAGCACTGGACAGTCTTTATTTTGCCCATTGTTGTACTTCCTGCAAGTGAAGCCCACAGGACCCGTTGGTTTTCTATGTCAGGAGCACCTTTCCATTTCCATTCATCTTCATCAATCTGAGCCTGTGTATTAACTCAGTCAAGATCTCCTGCTCTCTCTGCTTCTGCTCATGCTCCTCTGTAGTCTACATGAATGCAAATCTAAGTTTGTTATGGCATAATACTTTTTCTTAGCTTCCTTTGTCCTTATTACAATTTGCAGCTGCACATTTATTGGTTATTATTTCATTAATGGCAGTCCACCCTATCAAACTATACACTCCATGTGTTGAGGGGCAGGGTTTATTTTGCTCATCTCTGTTATCCTAACACCTAACACAGTGGTTCCCCTTCAGGTGTCTTAGCAAATATCTCTTGACTATATGCATGCATAAGTGAACAGGTGAATATGGGAACAAGCTGCACAGTTTACTGAGACAGAAAGCACTAGGAAAAGAGCAGCTTCGGGAGGGAAGCTCTTGCATTTAATTCGGACACGCTGAGTTCAGGAAGTCCATGGGACTTCCCAGAATACTCTCAGCTGTCCATGGTCCTGCAGGATAGATCCAGTCATCACTTTTCCTTTCATTGTCATAATCTTCCATTGTGTCTGTTTCTTCCACTGGACTATTGACTCCTCAAAGGCAGGGATAGTGAGCCGTCACTGCATCCCCAGTGGTCAGCTTGGCACACAGATGGGCTCAGGAAATGAATGAACATGTGGAGTAGGTGTGTGGATTCCTAAGAGAGTCACAGAAATAGACAATGCCTCTTGCTTATGTTTTCTTACAACAGTGTCACCAGAGCTCAGTGATTAATGCCGAGCACAAAGTAAATACTCAGCTGGCGCCATGGTTCAATAGGCTAATCCTCTGCCTTGCGGCGCCTGCACACCGGGTTCTAGTCCCGGTCGGGGCACTGGATTCCGTCCCGGTTGCCCCTCTTCCAGTCCAGCTCTCTGCTGTGGCCAGGGAGTGCAGTGGAGGATGGCCCAAGTGCTTGGGCCCTGCACCCCGTGGGAGACCAGGAGAAGCACCTGGCTTCTGGCTTCAAATCAGCGCGGTGCGCAGGCCTCAGCACTCCGGCTGCAGAGGCCATTGGAGGGTGAGCCAACGGCAAAGGAAGACCTTTCTCTCTCTTTCTCTCTCTCTCACTGTCCACTCTGCCTGTCAAAAATAAAAAAATAAAAATAAAACAAAGTAAATACTCAATAAATGTTTGTGGGGGAAGGCATTTGGCCTAATGTTAAGATAAGAAGTGCTCGAGTTTGATACTTGGCTGTGTTCCTACTCTAGCTTCCTGCTAATACAGATCGAGGGAGGCAGTGGTGATAGCTCAAGTGACTTGGCTCCTGCCACCTGTAAAGGAGAACTTGATTGTGTTCCTGGTTCTGCACTTCAACCCTCTAGTCATTTTGAACATTTGGACAGTGACCTAGTGGATGGGAGCCCCTTCTTACCCCCAAATAAATAAGTAAAATGAATGTTTGTAGAAATGAACTGACCTTGCTTTAACTGTAGTCTAAGCATAAACTTTGCAGTTGGAGCTACACAACAATCTTCCTTAGGATTCTCACTCTGAAGTGCCAAGACAGTAATGAAAACCATTCTTTCAAAATGGTTATATAACTGCGGTTATAGAGCTTGAGAAAATCTGAAGTAAACCTCATTTCTGGTAGTGGTGGAATAAAAACATTTCACAAAACATAAGACTTCTTGAGCTACTGCAGTGGTGCCATTTCCAATACTTATACTCAATCTACTTAGCACAAGTAGAAAACAATCAAACAATTCCAACTTTGATTCTTAAGACAGAATCTGAATGTTTTTCAGAATAACAAGTACTGAATATATAGGATTAAGGTAGTAGAACTGTCATTTCTTGCAAGTGGCGAAGAATCATCCAATGAAAACAAAGAGGCCAAAAAAATCTTAGAGTAATGAATGTGCTTGGAAAATATATCTTGTAAGAGGTTGCTTATGCATACAGGTATGAGAAGGCCATTGTGTTTGTTTGGAGTGTTCTAAATGTTGTGTTTACAACAAAATAGAATGCTGTAAATGAGCGAGACTAGGTAACCAGAAGTGAGTGTAACAAGAACGCCCTTCCAGCCATGTGATGGTGTAGGACTGCAGTTTGGAGCAGTAGGGTATTGAACTGTGTCTTCATTTTCTGTCCACATCTTTCCTATTGCTCTGCCAGGATAGGAACAGTGAGTTGTTCATGCTCCATCCCCAATGTCTGCAAAGAATAAATACTCAAACGTGAGTGCTCAATGAATGAATGAGTAAATACTTATTTTTGCAATTGCAATAGAAAAGCTTAAGGATTTCTATGAAACTCTTATTAGCAGATTTCTCTAAAGATTTTACTTCCATGTAATTTGATCTGTGCACATATGAGGTGCACACGTGTACATTTATGTATAAGATGCATATACTTTTAAAAATCAGCCAGTTAAATGTATCTGGGCCCTACTATGGCTTCTGTGTGGTCCCCAGTGACTTTGGTGGTTACGCAGACCCTTACCTTGAGGAAGGTCAAGCAATCCTGGTTTTCACCCTTGTCCTTGTTTCGTAGATCAAAGTTGTAGAGGGCCCTGCAGAGGGGGGGCGGCTGGGGCAGGTGCTTGATGACTTCCACAGAGCTGGCTGGGAAGATCCCACTGACTCCATTGATCTCCCCCTGGTACCAATTCTCATCCAGCTGTCTCCGGAGGAGGATGACGTCTCCCTTGTTAAAGCTCAGGTCACCAGCACTCTGGCCTCTGTAGCTGCATAAGGCCTTGGCTCGAGGCACCTGTGGCGGCACAGACCAGGAACACGTGCAGTTAGCTTAGAGACTGGAGGGACAGAAGGTCTGATAGTAATAACTAATTCTGAAGCACTTCTGATGTACTGAGTGTGTGTGTGTGGGGGGGTGAATGTATATATGTACCATGGCTGTTAAGCTAGCCAGCACCTCCTTTTAAATATGGACCAGAATTTTATTTATTTAATTTTAATTTTAGAGGTAAAGAAACAGCAAACACATACTTCCATTTGCTTGTTCACTGCTCGAATGCCTGCAGCATGGAGGCTGGGCCTGGCCGAATTCGGGAGCCTGGATCTCAATCCCAGTCTCCCACAGAGGTGGCTGGAACTCAACCACTTGGGCCATCACCACTGCCTACTGGGGTGCACATTAGCGGGAAGCTGGAGTCTGGACTGGAGCTGGAACCTAAAACTGGGTACTAGATTAGTATGGTATGTGACAGTCCCAAAAGAATCTTAGTTGCCATGCCAAATGCCTGCCCTTTGAGGTAGGCACTCATTTTCCCCCATTCATAAATTAGGGTGACTGAGGCATAGAGTGGTTCCATAACTTGTGTAAGGTGACACACCTGAGAAATGGCAGATATGAGAGCTGAACTCAGTCTACCTGATTCTAGAATCGTTGTTCTTTTTTAAAAAGGAAACCTTAATTTTATTTTTAATTGTTTTTTAACATATTCAATATCATTTGTAGATACAATTCTTTTTTTTTTAAAGATTTATTTATTGATTTGAAAGGCAGAGTTACAGAGAGGCAGAGGCAGAGAGAGAGAGAGAGAGAGAGAGAGAATCTTCCATCTGCTGGTTCACTCCCCAAATGGCTACAACAGCCAGAGCTGGGCCGATGAAGCCAGGAGCCAGGAGCTTCTTCCAGATCTCCCACATGGGTGCAGGGGCCCAAGCCCTTGGGCCATCTTCTACTGCTTCCCCAGGCCTTAGCAGAGAGCTGGACTGGAAGTGGAGCAGCCGGGTCTTGAACCAGTGCCCATAAGGGATGCTGGCACTGCAGGCCATGGCCTTTACCTGCTACGCCACAGCGCCAGCCGCTAGATAGAATTCTCAGAACATAATGATATCCCCCTCCTTCTCCCTTTCTGTCTCTTTTTAGTTTTTGAGATAACAGATTTTAAGTATATGTTAAAGAAAGGCTTAATACACCAAATAAGAAGTTTAACAAGTAAAAAGAAAAAAGATCCTAGTGGGAATATGGACAATGGCTATAAACAACAGTTGAGTGGAAAAATGACCAATTCGCTCAGATGCAGTAAATTTTAAAGTAATCACAGATTAGTAAAAATATGGTAGTATAACATTGGTTTGACAAAGGTATGAAACTAAGTTCCACAAAGCTGTATTTGCAGTAGTACTCATACACTCAGCATTGCTTTTTGTTTGTTGAAACTTTAGCTGCCATGCGTCAGGGAGAACTTGTGGATTTGTCTTTCTGGGTAGAACCCTTGTTCCGAATCACTACGCGGGGGTCAGGCTTGGACACGACTCCAACAGGGAGTGGTGACTCAGCTTGTGAATCCTGATTTTGAATTCTGCTGCACCTCTTTGCACTAGCGTGACCATGGCAAGTTGTTTAACCTTTCTTCAACCATGGTCATTTAGGAAATGGAGTATTCGGCTGTTGTGATGAATTTAATAATAATAATCACGCATTTAACTTCTTGCCTAGCATACAGTATGTGCTCAGTGGATGGCATCCATTGTTATCACCACTTTTTAATGGAAGGCTAATGATTCCAGGTCTTGCTGGTTCTCAGTGCTGATGGGAAGAAAGTAGAAAGTGTTACATGAGAGTAAAGCAGCTTAATTGGTCTTCTGCCTTCTCTAGAAATCGTAAATCTCCTGAGTGTCTGGATCATTAGGAAGCTCAACCGAGACAAAGAAACAATTAGTCAGAAAGTAATCATCAGGAATTTTTTAAAAATCAGCTCATGAATCATCATTTGTCAGATCAGTTGTCTGTCTAAATAATTATTTCAGTCAAGTGCTTTTTTTTTTTTTTTCCCCAAAATGAAACTGTTCCCTGCACACAGAAATGGCCTCGTTCTGGCCTTGCTTTGCATCAGCTTGCAAACTAAAAGTTCTAACAATTCAGGATGAGTGGAAATGCTTCTGTCACCCGGCAGTGTGACTGTGGGCTTTTCTGAGCAGTGGGTGAAGTAGTGCCGTCTCAGCGTGGCACTCCCAGCGTTCACTAGGGAGGCACCAAACCGGCCACCAGAGATCTTCAGGTTCGCAGTGTTCACTGGGGAAGGGAACGCCAAGCAGCATGGGGGTGGAGAAAGATCTAACAGCTCTTTTCTAATGGGATGGTGGAGCTGTAGGAAGGGCGTAGAGGTTAGAAAAACCGCAGAATACAGCTCAGCCGCAGGAAACTGGTGTACAAGCGAGCAAAGACATGTGTAGTAGGCAGGTTAACAGGGTGCTGAGGATGCAGGCAGGGAATTGGTTGAATAAATTATGATACACCCATACAATGAAAAACTTAGCACTCATTAAATGTGATGGAGTTGATCTATAATTAATAACACTGAACGTTACTCATACTGTTAATAGGAGAAGTTAAAATAGTTTTGTAGGCTGCATTTCATTATACATACATATATGCTCATACACACATAATTTTTAACCTGGGATAATTGTTTGATAGTTGTAAACCAACATTTGAATAGTAGTTATTTATAAGTAGTAAGTTTTTTTAATATTAAAAAAATACCGCTGGCGCTGCGGCTCACTAGGCTAATCCTCCGCCTGTGGCGCCGGCACACTGGGTTCTAGTCCCGGTTGGGGCACCGGATTCTGTCCCAGTTGCTCCTCTTCCTGTCCAGCTCTCTGCTGTGGCCCAGGAGTGTAGTGGAGGATGGCCCAAGTGCTTGGGCCCTGCACCCCATGGGAGACCAGGAGGAAGCACCTGGCTCCTGGCTTCGGATCAGCGCGGTGCGCCGGCTGCAGCAGCCATTGGGGGGTGAACCAACGGAAAAGGAAGACCTTTCTCTCTGTCTCTCTCTCTCTCTCTCTCACTGTTCACTCTGCCTGTCAAAAAAAAAAAAAAATTCCTACATGTTTAATTGTGTTTTCTAACTTTTCTACAATGACATTTTTTCTGATCATTTTTAAGTTTTTCTTTAGTTTTAAGATTTAACTCTTTTTTTTTTTTAACATTTTGCCATATTCACTTCATGTGCAGGCATTGCTTTTTCCTTTCCTCCATCTTGCTTTGTGGACGCAGGCACAGTCCATGGTGCTCTGGCTGCCGTCTGAAGATTGAGGATGAGAGCCACATTCAACTAGGGAGGGCAGAAGCCTGGGCAGCAGTTTCATACGCTTCCTGGACAGCTTCACTCCTAGACTTTTGTCAGAAAACCAAATAAACTTCCATGTTGTCGAATGCACTGTTCTTTTGGATTTAGGAAAAGTAAAAGGAAGAAAAGAAGAATGAAAATATAGAAAAAAGAAGACTCCAAGCCTCTGTGGCTTTCCATAATAATAATATCGATAGCCAATATTCATTAAGTGCTTCTTTGTGAAATATGATTTTGGAACTCTATAGCCAAATGATGATATAGGATATATGATTTTAGAACTCTATAGCCAAACATAGACTGTGTGAAATATATTTCACTTAAATCTCATGGCAACCTTTTTTTCGAGTTTTGCATTTCATTTATTGAAACCTTATACATATATTGTTCGGCTATAGAGTTCTAAAATTATATTTCCCGGGGCCAGCAACATGGCGCAGTAGGTTAACCCTCTGCTTGCAGCGCCGGCATCCCATATAGGTGCCGGTTCTAGTCCCGGCTGCTTCTCTTCCCATCCAGCTCTCTGCAGCTCTCTGCTATGACCTGGGAAAGCAGTGGAAGATGGCCCAAGTGCTTGGGCCCCTGCACCCAGGAAGAAGCACCTGGCTCCTGGTTTCAGATTGGCGTAGCTCTGACTGTTGTGGCCATTTAGGGAGTGAACCAGTGGACGGAAGACCTTTCTCTCTGTCTCTCTCTCTCTCTCTCTCTCTCTCTCTGTAACTCTACCTCTCAAATAAATAAATAAAATCTTTAAAAAAATCGTATTTTCCAAAATGTATCCCAAATCACAGAATAATGATGATAGCAAAGGAATACATAAGTCAACATCAGTCACTCAGTTTACAGCAGTCCTTGAGATGTGTGTGTTCCTTGTTCCAACTGTCTGATTAGAAAAGCGGGACGCATGGAAGCTGAAAGTCGTTCAGATTCACAGATCTAGAAAGTGATGAATTTAGGATGTGGACTCAGGTCTCTCCCCTAAGCCCAGGCTCTTAACTAGTATTTCCCATAATAAGTCTGTGGTTTTCCTGCACTGGGATCCAGGGAGATGTTAAAGTGCAGATTCCTGCTGCCTGTCCCCAACCTGTTTTTGATCAGCATCTGTTGGAATGGGGTTCAAGTAGCTGCCTTTTTATCAAGCTCTTTCATCATCAAGTTTAAAGCTGCTGGCCTAAGCTCCATCTTATTCTAATTCAAAAGGGGGTAAAAGAGCTTTGAAAATTGTTAGAGGCCTTCTTTGTTTCCTCTCTGGAAGGTGTTTCCAGTGCAAGTGGCTTACATATTTTAATGATTACTGAGAGAGAACTCAAGGGGCTTCCATAGCCTTGGAAACTCATGACTGGTGCATAGGGAGATTATTGATGCCATAAACAGGAGTGTCAATTTGTAAAGTCAACAACAGGAGTCACTGTGCACTTACTCCTCATGTAGGATCTCTGTCCTTAATGTGCTGTACACTGAGGCTTAATGCTATAACGAGTACTCAAACAGTATATTTCACTTTGTGTTTCTATGGGGGTGCAAACGATTGAAATCTTTACTTAACGTACACTAAACTGATCTTCTGTAAATAAAAAAAAAAAAAAAAGAAATTATCAATTCCCAACTTGACTCTCACTGGGATTAAACATGACAATAGGTCTGATCTGATTTCATCATGATTTAAAAAAAA